AGCATGAGAGAAGAAGGGGAAAGTGCAGGGAGCCCATTTTTAGGTTTAGCGATAGAGAAAGAGAAAGCACTGGAGAAGAAGGGGAAAGTGCAGGGAAGAGGAGAAAAAGTGCAGAGCACTAAAAGAGAGAGAGAGAAATCCATTTAGGCACCTAGATCTTCCCACCTGTGGGATGGATTCCAGAGAGAGAGAGAGACTAAATCCACCACTCGAGGAGAGGGAGAAACACATGTAAGATGGTCTATTCCTCTGAAAAATTCCTCCACTATTTTTTTTTGGACTCGGATTAATAGGTTTTATCTCTCTCTCTTTCCTTCATTGTATCAAAGGATTGCTTTGACGATTGTGTACATTTTTTGCATTTTAATGCCAGTATTGTGAGTGATTTATTGGTACGAATTAGTGGCTAATATGCTTGACTACTACCATGAGCTTCTATGAGATGATCCATAAATTAGCGAGAGAGATTAGGATAGAGACATGTTGAGTCTGCTATTAACATATTGAGGCATGTATTGTCTTTCTAGCAAATTGGTGCTTATTTGTGGTGGCTTGAGAGGAAACTTAGACAACTTTTCTAGGAATTCTACCAATTTTGAAAAAAAAATGCATTGGTTGTCTCATTTGTTCTCTATTTACTGTTTCAAAGTTTTTTTTTCTCAATTTTTTTAATCTATTGTTTGTTTTCTTGAGGTTTTGAGGTTTTTGTAGGTTTTTATGAGTGTTGTTTGCCAATTTGGCCTGAAAATTTTATTTCGGGATGTTAATATGAAATAAAAGAATTAAAAGATTTGAATAAGGATGTACTTTTTTTTATGAGTAATGATCCTATGAGACCCTTCCACACCCATGCGTGTAGGACCCCAAAGGATCACCATTAAATTTGGTACAGATCTCTAGAAAAGTTATTACATAAGTATGGGATTTGACTTTTTCTAGATATCTGTAACAAATTTAATGGTGATCATTTGGGGTCCTATACACATGGGCATGGGAGGGTCTCATAAGATCATTGCTCTTGTTTTATTGGTAAGGATTTATGGCATTCCTCAAAAAAATCTTTTTTTTTAGTGATTTTTGTTTTATTTTGTATGGATTGTATCTTAAGAAACTTAATTTCGAGCTCTCCTTCTCTATCTCTACCTCTCTTATTGTGTGATTTGTTGTAGTGAATTTTAAATTTTTTAGTTGTTTTGCTATCAATTTATAACTCAATTTCTAGTTAGTATTTTTTATTTATTGTTCTGCTAGATTTTGAAATTCTTGCTTATACTTAAATTTTGTGTCTATGTAATATAGAAATGAATTTGTGTTAATTACTTATGTTTAGGTATTACTTATTAAAAGTTATGGACATCATGGAGAAGGGTGCTCAAGTGGTGACATTGTTGCCAACATGGAGCCTATTAAGGCTTACATACCCATTGAGGCACTCGTACACTTGATTCATCCTATAAGATGGACCAGGATGATTTCTAGAAAACCAATTTTATGGATGTAAGTTATGATAATGTCATAGCAACTGAGGATGGTGAGGACAATGAGGTCCCATTGTTTTGTGATCACTAAGATAATAGTGGGCATCAAAGGACTTATTTGTAGGAATGAACTTTGAATGTGATGATGTTGCGTATCAATTTTACAATACATATGTTTAACGAAAAGGCTTTAGCATTCGTCTTGAGAGGCCAAGGAAGGACAATGACAATAATTTGAGGATGCGAGATTATGTTTGCTCAAAAGAAGCCAAACGTGATCCAAAGTATACAAGAAAACTCATCATCGACCAATAACAAGGGAATGATGCCAAGCAATTTTAAGGGTGCACAGGATGAAAGAGAGAAAATGAGTTGTAACGAAATTTGTTGAGGAGCACTCCCACAAGTTTACATCGCCATTAAAGGTACATCATTTGAGATCACATTGACGCATCCCAACAGCTACCATGAACTTGGTTAAAGCGATGTCTTCAGCAAGGTTGGTGTACATAAAATTATGTAATTTTTAACAGAACATATGAATGAGTTCAATGCTCTAAGCTTCACTCACATAGATGTCGAAAAGTTTATCCATAGCACCTGTAGGAAGGCGAGTGTTAGAGGGAGGGATGGGGAGGCTCTTTTGACCTACTTTTGTGAACGTGTTGAGGCGAACCCATGTTTTTTTTATAAAATACAATTTGATGAAGTAGGTTAAGTCTGTAATTGACTATGGATTGACTCGTGATCAAGGATATCATATGAGTACTTTGGCAATGTAGTTATTTTTATACAATATATAAGACAAATACATATCACATACTTTTTGCCCCCATTATTGGAGCAAACCACCACAGAAACAACATAGTCTTTGGTTGTGCACTATTTAAGCATGAGACAACATAGTCTTTTAGTTGGCTATTTGGGTATTGGCTAGAAGCTATGTAGGGTTGATAGCCGGGTTGCATCATTACTGATCAAGACGCAGTCATGGCTGCTGCAATTAAAGAAGTTCTTCCAAATGCACGTCATCAATTATGTAGATGGTGTATTTCACGAAAGTTTCAAGAAAAATTGGGGCATGTTGAGCGGAAGCACCCAAAGTTCTTACATGAGCTGTATAAAATCACTACTGATTATAATGAGACAATTAACTATTTTGAGGATCGTTGGTCCAGAGTGCTCCAAAAATATGAGCTTGGGGGGAATTAATGGTTGAACATAACATATGGATGTCATTCTCAGTGGGTTGATGTGTACATGACGAATACATTTCTTGCTAGTGCACAGTCTAGTCAACGAAGTGAATCTATGAATAGTTTTATTAAACAATATGTAAATTTACACACCAATTTTTCAGGATTTGCAAAACGGTGCTAGAAAGCAATTGACTATCTATATGAGAAAGAAAATATGATAGAATTCAAGGGCACTGAAGGTATTCTAATGATAAGAACGACATTCCGCTATGAAAAACAAGCTGTTAAGTTGTACACCCATGGTGTATTTAGGAAGTTTGTTGAGGAAATTCAAAAGATACCTCCTATGGTTGCAGAGTCTATAGAAGTTGAGGGACCAAATACCACATATAGGGTGTATAAATATGATGTCAATCGACCACAATATAAAGTGATATTCAATGAATCATAAATTACAGCAACTTGCACATGTTGCTTGTATGAACATGATGGTATTCTTTGTGCACATGTCTTAAAGGTTTTCTATTATAATAATGTTATGCTCATCCCTGAGCACTACGTCATGAAAAGATGGAGTAAGGAAGGGAACAAAGGGATGGTATCAGATGGCGATGATGTTTAAATTAATGCTGACAATAAGGAGTCTCAAACTGCTCGTTACGATGATTTAAGTAGAGTCACCTTTAAAGTTGTCTCAAACGGATCAGATAGTGAAAGACTCTTGGAATTTACAAAAAATATTCTTATGGAGTGTAATGACAAAGTGGAGAGGAAGAGATTGGAGTATGAAGAAGAGGCAACTTGTTCGAATCAAGGTAGCAATATAAAGAATGTCATGCCTAGTCATAGTTACACACCATGGACTAACACAAACATCTTTATACTTGAATCACAATGTACTCGAACAAAAGGGCGGCCTGACACTATAAGAAAGAAAGCACCATGGGAGGAGAAGACAAGCACGAGGAAGTATTCTATTTGCTAAAATGTAGGGCATGATAGACGAACTTGTCCAACTTTTAGAACTCACGAGTAAAATTAATAATTATGCTTACAAGTAAAATTTAATGTTGTTATACTTTAATATTGTCTTGTGAATTTGAAATAATGCATCAACTAATCACTGTTTTGCAACTTATGCAGGTCCGATATGGAAATTCCCATAATGGCGCCTGAAGCTGAGCGAAACAATATGTAGACTTCGCTATGTACACCATTCGCTGAGCGAAACAACTCATCATCTTAGAAATTTTTTGCAAGCCCAATGCTCAACAAACAAGCTCATCATCTTAGAAATTTTTTGCAAGCCCAATGCTCAACAATCAAGCTCATCATCTTAGAAATTTTTTGCAAGCCCAATGCTCAACAATCAAGCTCATCATATTTGAAATTTTTTGCAACCCTAATGCTAGTGGAGAAGACTTTATCTTGGAATGGAGCTTCGAAATGGAATTTTTGTATAGCTTCCATATGTTGCAAATTCCTGTTGCAAGTAGAATTTTGTATAGTTTCAAAGTGCATGCTCTTTGGGTGCTGCAAATAAATTTTTTGTAATAGCTTTCCATTTTGCAATTTCAAAGTGCATATTGATTAGCTTCAAAATGAAATTTTTGTACAGCTTTCCATTTTGCAAATTGATAATGCAAATAAAATTTTTGTATAGCTTCGAAATAAAATTTATGTATAGCTTCCATATGTTGCAAACAATATGTAGATCTCTCGCACTATCCCATGACCTAGCTATCTTACTCTCTTTCTCACTCTTTGGGTGTGTGTGTGTGTTTGTTTCTCTCTCTCTCTCCCCCTACGAACTCTATGGATGGTTTGCGCTTCCAATAGTACTCCTTAACTTTTAAATAATAGTACACCAAATTCATACACCAGATAGTATGGGCATGGAGATAGCCTTCGTTTCCAATTTATGTAAGTTAGAAATGCCATTTCTAATTCCCCCAAATTCATACACCAGATAGTATCGGGCAAGCAGTAGATATCAAGACAGGAGCATACATGCTCTCAGAAAATTACCCTATTTTGCTTCTAGTACCATGAGAAGTAATTAAAATTACCATTGATTGCCCATTTTAACATTTTCACTACCTAGACCAAATTCCCTGAATCATAAGGAAACATCAAGCCTGAATCGAAAGAAAATTCCCTGGGAACAAAGTTTGAAGAACTTGAATTGCAATCCATAATTCCCACAAAAAATTAGTGTGTATTTAAGGTCCTATCTTAAATAGAACTTACCAGGAAAAGACATTGTCTCTACTCCCAATTCATCAGGAAAAGGACAAAATGTGAGAAATAGAATTCATTTGAGAATGGTTACTTTCTTAAATAGATGTTACACATACATAGAGTTTGAGGGCAAGGTATTACATCAAAATATGCTTGCAAAACTGAGTTTGTACATATCCAACTACAAGAGGTTAAATTACAAATATGTAAGAGGCCCCTATCTAAGTACAACCTTCCCCTTCACCCTTGGTGGAAGTTCCCATCTGGGTTCCTCAGGCATAGCAAGACCGTGATATTGGTATTCTCTGGACTTTGTCTCCTTTAATTATCCTTCTCACCATCCTCCTCACCTTCCTCTTTGCTTTCACTATCCTCCTCACCATCCTCTTCACTTTCACTCTCCTCTCTTGCATCTAGTGTGTTACTAACAATTCATGGGCCGCGACAACATAACTCCTGGAATCCTCTTCATTTTCAAGTACAACTTCTAACATCCCTATACAGGTGTGTTGCTACAATTACAACAATATTTGTATAATTACATGACAAACAAGATTGTATAAATTTGATTGAATATATAACACAAAACTAAATATGTAATGAAATACACAACTAAGTATGGCTAATTTGCATCAATTTTTTCTCTTTGGGGGCAATCACCCAGATACCTTTTAATGAACTCCCCATCATTTTCTGCCCTGATACCCATAACGGGCTCGCCTGTAACAAGTATATGCAATATCCGTCATATGTCATATAACGTTGGACCCCTCTCCTCAACGTTTAGGTGGGAGGTATTTGTTGCAAACACCATGTTTTTGTGAAGGCCTTCAACAACTTGCCATCGATTTTGAAGACCCCTATGTCCATCAATGAGCCCAAGACAGTCTTTCTGATAAGCTCTATCTGTCGTAGATCAAGCTTCCATTTTGACAAGGCTTGAGTGGATTCATCGGTATGAAACATCTTTTTCCTTTGAAATGAAATTCACTAGCATAATAAGTACTCATTGTAGACGATGTAAGAACATTAAAAGAAAAAATATATTTAATAATATGATAAAAATATGAATTACGAAATAACAACTAAATTAGTTAGATGATGATAAGAATATGTCGCACTTGTCCTTATGCAAATATAGGAGATAGGGTACTGTCCCTTATGCAAACTCTTAAATCAAAGACAATACATAGGTACATACACCTTGATCAAAATCTCAATACACAAACAAAACTTGAATTATTGGAGAACAAATTTTTGCAGCATAATAATTCATAATCACTATCTTGAACGTTCTATTCACAATGTTCTTAAAGTTAAAAAATGAAAGGATAATTTTATTATATTGTGGGGAACGTACTTTTATTGCTTATTTTAGCCAAATTAGAACTATTCTTGCAACTTTTGTAACAAGATTTTTGAGAAAAAAACTGTCAAAAGAAAACAAAATGGAAGTTCGACATACGAAGATTTTACTTTAACATTTACAGTAAAAAGTCCAAATACCACTTAAGGAGTCAAGCCAATTTCCACTCTTATTCCATTAATGGATATTTTAGCACAAAACAATTACAAATAGAAGAAAAAACAGCAAAAAATTAATTTCAATGAATGTACAAGCGACAAAAACGATGGCCACAAAAAATAAAAAATTCATTTGAAGTTGCCCTATCACAATCTATCATTGCATCAATTAAAAAAAATGAAAATTAAACAGAAACAAAGTACATGGATAACATTACAACTATTAGCAACGGCAACAAAACGTCCCATATTCATTAATTCTCTTAAGAAATAGAATTCATCGAAAAGTCTTCTAAATTTTCTCTCAAGCCACCGCAAATAAATACTAATTTGCTAGAAAGACAGCCATGCCTCAATCAGTTAATAGCAAACTAAACATGTCTCTGTCCTAATCTCTCTCACTGATTTATGGATCATCTCGTAGAAGCTTGTGGTAGTAGTCAAGCATATTAGCAATTAATCCTTGCCAATAAAGCAATCACAATACTGCCATTAAAATGCAAAAAATGCACACAATCGTGAAACAATCATTTGATACAATGAAGAAAAGAGAGAGAGAGATAAAACTTATTAATTAGAGTCAAAAAAAAAAAAAGTGGAGGAATTTTTCAGAGGAATAGACCATCTTACATGTGTTTCTCCCTCTCCTCGAGCGGTGGATTTAGTCTCTCTCTCTCTCTTTGGAATCCGTCCCATAGGTAGGAAGATCTGGGTGCCTAAATGGGTTTCTCTCTCTCTTTAGGGCTTTGCACTTGCTCTCCTCTTCCCTGCACTTTCTCTTTCTTCTCTAGTGCTTTCTCTTTCTCTATCTCTATCTCTAAACCTAAAAATGGGCTCCTTGCACTTTCCCCTTCTTCTCTTTGCTTTCTTTTTCTCTATCTCAAAACCTAAAAAAAGGTTCCTTGCACTTTCCCCATCTTCTCCCGTGCTTTCTCTTTCTCTATCTCAAAACCTAAAAATGGGTTCCCTTCACTTTCCCCTTCTTCTCCTGTGCTTTCTTTGACTCTCTTTCGTTAAAAATGGACTACTCTCTCTCTCTCTCTCTACTACAGACTTATTTCAAATGGATTATCGGTTGATCCCGTGCCCTCCATTTTGTGACTACTTGAGTGAATGATGTCAGCCCTCTATTTTAAATCAATGGTTAAAAAGGTGGTGGATGATAGAACTTTTATGATGTAAGGGAAGCATAGAAAGATTTCCCTTATATATATAGAACATATCTCTTAGTGCAATTGTGGATGTAAAGTCATGAGGAACATGGTTTAGGGACGACGGATGCCATACCTCAAAATAAAGGTGGGTGTAGAGCATGTGCTTTCGTGCATTTTTAATAGGTCTCATATAATGCTCATAGAAAAATTATGAAAAAATAAATAAAATAAAGGTGGGTGTAGATCATGTGTTTCCTTAACGATAACCCTTACCTGAAAGTTCATGCCAAGATATACACTAGTTGTGTTGTATAATTCAGCACCATATTAACATGGAAAAAATTTATATAGGTTGAAGCCCTAAAACCGCAAACTAAGGCACACCTCAAAATTTATAGAAGAAGTTGTTTTGATGTCGAAACTCAAATCCAATCATCTTAGCCTTGAGATACATGAATGTAAAAAAAAAGGAACTTCAAGTTTTAGAAATTATAATACATTATCTAGACAATCAATTTTAAAGATTTTAAAATGTTTATAGACCTGCTTGATCTACATCATTTTTAAAGCTTTAAATTTTATAAGGAAAATTATGTTTATATGCATTGTAGTTTCTGTTATTACCAAAATACCAAATAGTTTTCGTTATTACTGGAATGTCCGTTTTTCTCACTTCATAACAAAAATTTTAAAAAAATAAATTTTTACCCTTTTTCGGTTTTTGAACAACCGAAAATAGGCAGAAGCTTGGAATTTGCATTTTTCTTTTCGGTTGTTGAACAATCGAAAATAGGCAAAAGCTTGGAATTTGCATTTTTATTTTCGGTTGTTGAACAACCGAAAATAGGACTGCATATTCCAGAAGGTTGCTGGAATATGTAGTCCTATTTTTTATTGTTCAACATCTGAAAATAGGACAGAAGCTTGGAATTTGCAGGATAGAAGCTTGGAATTTGCATTCTTAATTTCGGATGTTGAACAACTGAAAATAGAAGTGCGTATGTCAGAAGCTTAAAAGAGCCCCGTTATTTTCGTTTGTTCAAGAACTAAGATTAGCTTATTTTCGATTTTTGAACAACCGAAAATCCAGCCATTTTCGGTTGTTCAAAAACTAAAAAGGGTAAAAAAGTCTTTTTTTTTAAAAAATTCGTTATGAAGTGAAAAAACGGACATTCCAGTAATAACATAAATTATTTGGTATTTTGATAATAACTGAACCTATAATAGATAGATATGTAATTTTCTCAATTTTATATTATCGTTGGAGATGAAAATAAATTTTTAGACTCATAAAGATTTTTGATATTAAAATGACATCTTTTAACACTGTTTGAAAGTGCACCTGAATTTATTGTTTAGAGACTCAGCCTTATACAAGCCACAAAATTGGCATTTAGGGGTAACTCAAGCATACAAAAGAGATAGAGGAGGTGACATGCATGTAGATTTGACAATGAGGAATCACGAGAAATTCCCTTGAAATTCTAATCCGCAGATTATTGACTTCTCAACTAGATGAGTTAATAGTCTCTAAGTTACTAAGCACTAAGGAAGCGGATGGCTTCTATGAGACCAACAAGCATTGAGGTGTTCAACTCTTACACAGTAACTCAAGGGGGAGACGGGGCTCCATGAGAGCTTCCAAAGGGGAGGCCCTTGGGGTGGTGAGACCAACGACCTCGGTCATGTCAAGTGAAGAGCAACCAAGAGGGAGGTGCCAATCAAAGCTATGGAGGAGGCGGGCCAGGGCCAAATGCACCACCGAGAGGGCGCGGGACATGCCGGGACATGCTCGCCGGCCGGCCCCGAATGGTAAGAGCTGAAAATGTTGCCCCTTCACATCCACCTCGCTCCCTATAAACCTCTCCAGCTCAAATTTGAGGGGCTGCTGCCACCACCTTGGGTCCCTCTGTATCTTCCATGCATTCATAAGCAGTCGTGTGCCGGCAGGCATATGGAACCCGGCCACCACACAATCCTCTATGGATTCATGTGGGACAAGGAGTGGGCCGGGAGGGTACAGCCGCAGTGTGTCCTTGATGATCGCTTGTAGGTAGGGGAGGTTGGCTATGTCAGCCTCCTCCACCCTTCTTTCCTTTCCGATCTTCGTGTCATGCTCCTCTTTAACTTTCCTCATGGCCTCCGGATTGCTCAATAGAGAAGCCAGAGCCCATTCCAGAGTCATTGCAGATGTGTTCGTTGCAGCAAATACGATCACCTTACAACCAACCAGACAATACAGTGAGCTCAATTGAACTCCAACCATGAAACATCGAATTCAAGCCATCGACCGTGGCTCCAACCCTTGTCATTTGGGTCATCAAAATGGCGATCGAACCCCAATCAACGGCCATGATTCGAATTTTACAAGGACATGTTTTACACCACAAATTCATGGCATACACAAGGTTAAAAGGAGAAGACTGACCAGAAGTGTGGCCTTGATTATGATATCCCTCCTGTGGGGAGTGGATGCAGAGAGCGAAGCGATCTGTGGGTCATCCGACAAGGACAACATCACATCCAAGAAATCCGTAGCCTTCTCACGATCTACATCCACTCCTTGCCTCACCTGTCGCCGCTCGTCGAACCAAAATTGAGAAATGATATTCATCTTCTCCCTCACTTCTTCATAGCTCGTTGGGAGCCCGGTAGATCGATCCACCCCAACACCGGCATTACGTCACCCAAGTTCGGCAAGCCACTCACATAGAACGACTCCTCCACCAATTCCTTGAACTCCATAACCTCCTCTTCAGGACCCAGCCTCAAACTGCTCCTTCCCCCAACCATCCAGTACCATATCCACCATGTGCACCCTGATGCCCACTTGCACCTTTTGCCCCTCCTCCTTTCTTGCTTCCCACACACTATATAATCTCTTTATGCAATTCGCAGTCTCTCCGTCCCGGACATGGCTGAGCGTCTCAAGACAACGAGTTGATAGCAGCTCCAGTGTGCAGACCTTGCGCAGGTCCCGCCACAAGGGGCCGTAGAGGGCCCAAGCAATCGCGGTGTAGTCGAAACCAAGAATCCTACCCGCAGCCATCATGGGGCGAGAGGCGAAGGCACGGTCGTGTATGGTGAGGCACTCCCTCGCTATGTCCGCATCACTCACCACCAGTGTCGACTTTTGGCCCATTTGCAACTTCATGATTAGTCTGTGGCGATCGGCGAGCGATGCAAGCACGCGATGAAGAAGGGGCTTGTCGCCCATGAGCAGGTGGAGGTGGCCAATAACCGGCCACCCCGGTGGCTCGGGCAGCAATTTCCCTTTGGTGGCAGCGCCATGGAGGAGAATTCTGATTAAGACCCACGTCACCAGTAGCGAGGCTGCTAGTGCTTGGGCTGTGCTTCCTAGAAACCAAATTGTATCCATTTAACTGTGTAAGTGAGGAGAGATGCGCTATATCTTCAACCTCATCTCTACCTCTCTCTCTCTCTCTATATATATATATATATATATATATGGAAAAAGGCAATAGAAAAAAGAGTCGCCATGCTTATTTGAATTCATGGGTAGGGAAGTAAAATGCCTTTTATGCTCCTGGGGGAGCATACAGTCCATTTTCTCCATGGGTTAAAACCGAAGCTAGAAGTTGTTTTAGGACCTCGAATTTGAGAATGTCATCCGTTCAACTTAGCAGCCAATCTCAGAAAAGAAAAAACTCTGTATGTGCCTTATAAATATAATGCTAACTCAAAATTATTTCTTTGAATAATCATCTAGTGAGTTTTAGGTGGATCTCAAAATTTCATAATAGAAAGCCTCTGATTTAGCTCTTTTTCCTGAAAGAGTTAATCAACCATATGCTCTAGCCGGTGCATGATATACACGCCAAATAAAATATAGTGGTTGTTAATGTTGTTAAATAGGCAATATATTATACAGTTCATGAAAGAAAAGAGGATTTACATGATAGTTTTATGATGGCTTAAGTTTAATAAACTGTTGTCTTGATTTATACCGAGGACGTGTCCCCTTGGTTGTTTCCAATAACACGGCGTGTGGCGAAGGGGCCAATAACGTCTCATGAATTCTTTATTTCACCCTCATGGATCTCATCAAGTCTTTGGCCGTTTCTCCCAAGTCGCCATTCCTTATTTACATTTGCCTTGGCTCTTTGGGGCACAACCAGTGTTTCAAAAATCCGTGATTCGATTCAGCATTGGGCGATTTGGCCGTCCCGGATTTTCCTTATTTACATTTGCCTTGGCTCCTTGGGTCATAGAGCCAACCACCCGTTTTCTAACTCCTTTAGTTCCACATCTCCCACCCGTTTTCTAACTCCTTTAGTTCCACATCTCTTCAAGATGGGACAATTCTTATAGCCCAACTCCACGTTGTTGCATTAACGTCTCTTCAAGATTGGACAATTCTTATAGCCCAACCCAACGTTGTTGTATTAACGTATAGATTAAGACTATTAGGGGATAGGTGGATTGTCAATATAAGAAGTGTACGCCCGACATTAAATTATATGATAAAAAAAGAAAGAAAATTATTAAAAATAATGATTGGGTAATAGGGCCAACCACCCGTTTTCTAACTCCTTCTTTCGTTCCACATCTCTTCAAGATGGGACAATTCTCATAGCCCAACCCAACGTTGTTGCATTAACGTATAGATTAATACTATTAGGGCATGGGTGGACTGTCAATATAAGAAGTATGCGCCCGATATTAAATTATATGATAAAAAAAGAAAGAAAATTATTAAAAATAATGATTGCGTGATAGGGCCAACCACCCCTATCTTTCACAAAAAAAATTTAAATTTATTTACCCAAAAACTAAAATAAAGAGACTAATACTATTAGATTATTATCTCATGGGATTATTTTATTATATGATTAATATCATGCTATTAGCTAATTAGGATTAAAAAAATAGTACTAGCTCATAATATATTAAGAAAAGCAAAAAATATGAATATTAAAAAAATATTAGTTTATGAGATATTTTAAGAGAGAAAAATATTTTTAAGTTGCTTTATCAATTACCCCATATTGCAAATATGAATTTATTTATTTATTTTTTAATTTTATTAAAATATAATTGTAAATTTATATTTCTAATTTTTATATTTTTGTTCACACAAATTGTTATAGATTTATTTATTTGTGATGGTCAATTTGACTTGTGTAGATATTGAGGCAATTTCTTTTATAGCCCATTTTCTTTCCACGTCTCTTCGATATGGAACAACTATCATAGTCCATCTTCCACATCATTTTCTATGGGAATATCTATTTGCAATGGAATACCTATTTAATGTTTGAATTGACTAATATTATTAGGATCTTAGGCATTATTCCATTGTATGATTGATATTAAAATATAAGTTAATAGGGATTAAAAAAAATAGTACTAGCTCATAGGACATTAAAAAGAAAAAAATATTACTAATACTAATCTATTGAACAGTTAAAAAAAATACTAGCTGCTCACACTTTTTTCAAAATGTGGGCAACATGAGCCCTCAATTTTGAAAAAAATTCCAAAGCTACCAATTTGCTACAGTAAACTGTTTGATTTCTACAGTAAATTGTTTGATTTGCTACTAGCATAATTATATGAAATTGTTGTACTAGCTCATAGGATCTTAAAAAAAAACAAAAAATAATACTAATACTGGTTTATTGAATATTATAAAAAAATACTAGTTTATAAGATATTTTAATAGAGAAAATAACATTAGCTCATACAACTTTCGAACAAGTTGCTTTATCAATTATCCCACATTGTAAATATGAATTTATTTATTTATTTTTATCAATTTGTTAGAATATAAATACAAATTTATGTTTCTAAATTCTATATTTCTATCAGCACTAATTATTATACATTAGATTTATTTATTTGTGAGGGTCATACCCTTGTTTTTTGAATCATGTTTATTATAATATTGTAATTAATAATTATACTAATTACAATGATAAATATTATACTTTATTTATTTATTTAATAAATTATACAATGTATTATTTGTTATTATAGTTGTAAATTATTAATGTATTAGCACTAATTATTGTACATTAGATTTATTTATTTGTGAGGGTCATACCCTTGTTTTTTGAATCACGTTTATTATAATATTGTAATTAATAATTTTACTAATTACAATGATAATCAAATCTTATATTTTATTTATTAATTTATTTACATTATAAATTATGCATTGTATTTTTTTTTGTTATAGTTGTAAATTAAAATTTTAAATTAGATGATATTATAAGACAAATTTCAAATTTATTCTTATTTGTATAGTAAAATGATGATAAAATAATAAAATACAAACCAATAATTCTAATTTTAATGTATAATATTGTATTTAGTTAGGTTTTAATAAATGTTTGATGAGAATCTTCGTACAGGGAAATAACATCTCAATATTCTCATATTGATGCAAAAAAATAAAATTTATTAATTTAATACCCTTATTTCTTATTAGATTCCTAAAAAAAAAACATTTATAATGATTTTTAATATTTTTTTGAATTTTTTTCTTAAGGCTGAATCCGACCGATTCGGCTAATTCCCGATTTGAAACACCGATTCACCGATCTGAATGGAATTTTGGGGTGCTCGATCCAGGGCATCGATCTGTTTCTTAAATCACTGGTGCAAAGTATGAGTTCTATATGTGAGTTCTAATGAATTACATATAGAATAAATTAGGGAAATTATCATAAATATATTTTAATTTTCGTCTATTTTGAAAAAAAACCTCAACTTTTATAAACCTCGCCCACACCCTTTTGCATGTTATACGGCATTTTAAGTACTGTTAAAACTAACCCATGTTCTACAGCATTTTAAGTATTGTATAGCATTTTAAGTACTGTAAAATAGAAATGTAGTACATCTTTTTCTTCTTGTTTATATTTATATCTTTTATCTCTAATTCTTTTTATGTTTATCTCTTCTTTTTTTTTCTAATTCTTTTTAAGATTTATCTCGTTTTTCTCTCTCTAATTCTTTTTTATCTCTTATTTCTCTCTAAATCTATTGTCTCTCTAATTCTCTTTCTCTCTCCAAGGAGATTTGTATAACAACCTGTTAGTACCTTACCCTCCCCTATAAAAACTTCCTTCAACTCTATCTCTTATAAAAATTAGACGGAGTTAGATTTGTATCACGTGCGTTGGAATCACGTTTGTTGAGTTGATGAAGTAAGTAGAGAGAGAAAAAACTTAGAGAGAGACAGAGAAAGAAGAGACAAAAAAATTAGAGAAAGAAATAAGAGATGAATATTAAAAAGAATTAGAGGGAGAAAGAAGAGTTAAACATAAAAAGAATTAGAGAGAAAAAAGAGATAAACATAAAAAGAATTAGAGAGATAAAAGATATAAATATAAACAGAAGGAGAAAATGGTTTATTGAATTTCGAGCCATATAACATGGTTAGTTTTACAGTACTTAAAATGCCATATAATAACATGGGTTTTTTACTGGGTTATTTTTTATGGTAGTTAAAGTACTGTAATTGTGCTTCACGATAATACGACTACTGTGAAGGTTATTTTGATTAAAAAAAACCAAAAATTGAAGTTTTACCGTACTTAAAATGACATATAATAATATGGTTTTTTTACTGGGTTAGCTTTTACGATACTTAAAGTACTGTAATTGTGCTTCACGGTAATACACTACCGTGAATGTTATTTTGGTAAAAAAAAGCCCAAAATTGAAGAAAAATGGCATAGGCTAGATTTATGAAAGTTGAGAATTTTTTTCTAAATAGACGAAAATTTAAGTATATTTGTGATAATTTCCTAATAAATTATCTACCTTTTTATAAATTGAAGGGTATAAAGGTATTCGTAAGCCTAGGAAATATTTTAAGGGAGAAAATTCATAGAGTGTAAGCTATAGAAAAGAAAATAATGGCATTAGATCAAGGCTCAAAAGTGATATGTTTGAGTTCAAATTTGGCAAAAATTTGGTTTTTTTTTAGGACTACAGAATTGAAAGATCTGCTATTTGCTTTGCGCTATAGAGAGTAAATGTTCATAACTAAGTGCATTATTTTTTTTCCTATTTTCGTACCTAACAAATTATGATTTCATTTAATAGTCAATGCTCTTAATAGCACGTGCTTCTTACCGTCATGCTTTACTTTTTGGTTTTGTATATCTGATGTGTTCTTTT